TTTCTACCATGTTTGCTTGACCCCTTTTCTTGTCTTTCTTTCGAGCACGACACTCCGTAAATTTGTGTCCGGTTTTTCCACAATTGTAGCAGTTTCCACTGAACTGCTTCTTGCTTGGGTTGTATTTCAGACCAGAAGCCTTCTTTCTCTTTTTGTTATCTTCAACAATATTTGCTCCCATTATTGTTGAAGTTCCACGACCTCTCTTTTCAGCAGCTTTATTGTCCTCTTCGATTCTCAATCGAACAATGAGATCTTTAAGGGGCATCTTCTTTTGTTTGTGTTTCAAATAATTTTTGAAGTCCTTTCACAATGGAGGCAACTTCTCAATTATTGGTGCTACTTGGAATGCTTCATTGATGACAAGACCTTCAATGAAAATTCAGTTAGTAAAATTACTAAAAATTTTACTTTCAACATCAGTATTCTTTTGAAATATACCTTCAGCAAGTAGATCATGAATAATTACTTGCAATTCCTGGACTTGGGTAATAACAGACTTGCTATCTACCATTTTATAGTTCAAAAATTTTGCAGCGACAAATTTCTTCATCCCGACATCTTCAGTTTTGTATTTCTTTTCAAGTGCATTCCACAATTCTTTTGATGTCTCCACGCCACTGTATACATTATACAGATTATCATCCAGTCCGCTAATAATATAATTCTTGCACAAAAGATCAGAATGCTTCCACGCCTCAATCACGAGAAAGCTTTCATTCTCTGGAGTGTCATCTGGCAGATCAGGAACATCTTCCTTGATGAACTTCTGTAGACATAACGTAGTCAAGTAGAAAAACATCTTCTGCTGCCAGCGCTTGAAATCAATCCCAGAAAATTTTTCAGGTTTCTCTGCCGGTGCCAACGCCGGTGTTCGGCTTGTTGATGCGTTGGCTGTCATCATCGGAACAACTCGGTTTCCGTTGTCATTTTCCATTTCTGTAAAAGAATGACACAAATAAACGTTTAAACTTGGAGAAAAAAATCACGTAGATTTTAATTTCCAACAAACCGCCACGAAGGCTTTACTCTCCAAACGGGAGTACCCAAAACCACAAAGGTTTTAGTTTCCAGAATAATAAGAATAATACAAATACAAAAATTAAAATTGTTAAATTCCTTAAGCTTGTTAATAATATAAGCTTGTTAATATTTATTTGACCTGTATTTGTAAATAATGATTATGGAGAAAAGAACGTTAGCCTANTCGAAATGTGTCAATAACCACGGGTGCATTGATGTGACGTGGTTCAAGACCCGTTTTCACGACGTTGCAAGTCTTTTTAAAAATAATAATAATAAAAGTGGCTAAAAGTTAAAATTTGCACATAAGTTCATAATTGTATAAAATCAGATAATTAAGCCAGATATGACAGTTGAGGGAACGTGCCNACCCAAGGTTATGGATTATTTCCTCCCAGGATAGAACGAATTATACACTGGTGTAGCGGTACTTTAAACCCCAGTGTTTCAGCGAACACAAAGTTCGGAAGCAAATCACACTTACGGTTGCTTTGTTTGTAGTTTAAAGCAATGCACAAGAAAGGAGGAAAACTCAAAAGTCGAATGGAAATTCTTAGAGGAAGGAATGCAATTTATAGCCAATGTTGAGCGATAACAGAAGAGGAAATCAGATTGCTTGTTGCTTTCTGTTTTTNATTAAATAATAAATCCCGTTTCGATTGTCCTTTAATTGGAAAAACTCCCTCTGCGCCCTTTACGAGGGCGCATGTAAAAAGGAGGTGTGACAGCTACTGGCACCTTTCTTTTATAGTGTAATCAGCTGGTAAACACACTCATTTGGTGAAGCATTTTCTCATGGTGGCTGGAGCACTAAGGCTTTTAATTAATGGAGGAAGCACTCATGGTGGCTCGAGTACTAAGGCTTTTAATTAATGGAGGAAGCACTCAACATGGTGGAATGAGCACTTGCTCATTAATATTCACGGATTGGAAAACACCCGTTACAAATACGGATAATATTACGTTAATATTCACTATTAACAAATAACTTTGGTCCAAAAAATTAATCAATCAATCAATCATTTGACCAAATCCAAATCCTAAGCCGAAGCCGAGCCGAGCCGAGCGAGCGACGACGGCGGCGCGAGGCTTGCCTTCCTCCTAACTCTTTAAGAGCTACATAAAGTGCATTTGAAAACTTAAAATTTTACTCAAAATTTTTATTTCCCTCCATTTCTCATCCACCCTCTTTTTAATACCTTTCCATATTAAAAAGAAACTCTAACAACATAGACGTGGACGAAGATGAAGAAGTTGCTGGCTTTTCATTTTAAGATTGTACATGGTGTCTTTTGAGAAACACTACCCTGTATAGGACTGATCAAAGTGCTAAACCCAAAATTGAGGGACACAAAATCGAATTCACTTCCTGTAAATGTGACTTTGCCAGTGGTTGCATTTGATATTATCATTAAATAGTTTAAGAGTTAGGTTTATCTGGATTTGTGGGTTTGCTGACGGAAAATCCTTGCTTGGTAATGATTCTCAACTGAGTTACCTTTCTATTCTTAACAATTTGCTAGTGTTCTTTATTTGGTTCATATTAGCATTATCAGAAATAGTAAAAGTATATTCCCCTAAATGTTTCTTCGTTTTACTTGTAAATGAAGGTAGAGAAAATGCAGAAGAAACCTGACGTGAATGAGATTATCTTTTATTTGCTCAACTTTGGGTGTTTTACTAGGAAATGAGGTAATTTGAGTCAACCATGCAGTCATGCTTGAGGGTCAGACGATAATATTTTTGTTGTCGTAAAAAAGTCTCAGATGTCTCATATTCTCATTATTTGTTTTTCAACGAGTAGAGTCCGTTTGGACATACAATTTTTTTTTATTTTTTTTTTGATTTTCGCAATCAGTATTAGGACATAAAATTTTCAATCTTCACTTGAAGATATCATCTCAAAACACACCTCAATTTTCAAATACCATTTTCATTCAAAATTTCTTTTCACTTTTTTTTTAGTTTTAAATTTTACGATTCTTATGTCCAAACGCCCACTTAATCCTCTTAAAGCTATTATTGAAGATTATAAATATTTTCCGAAAGTCAATAAATCAAATTTTATATTATGGGGAGGCAAACAAATATGTAGACCTCTAGCAAATGAAAATTGGAGACATGAATATTTGTTAGTATGAAAAAATGCGATCAAGGAAATAAAGTTTTCCTTCTGACAGATTCAATCATTCAAGCAATATAGCTTATGAAAAATTTAAGGGATATTATCATTTTTAGCCCTTGCCAGAAACTATTTACATTTGGTAGGCGGAAAAATGTATAAAATTTGTATAATTTTTGTATATAATATACAGAATATATACTATAAAATATATAAATTTTATATATTTTTTGGCTATTATTTTTACAGCGGCTATACAGTGTCATTTTCCCAAAATTTTAATATATTTCTATTTTGTAATTTGCAATGTACCAAAGAAAAAAAGGCATACCGGAGACGAGATATTCCAAATAAGACATAATATTGTCTACGTCTTTAATTTCTTCGTCTGTATCCTCATAATCAAAAGTATCTTCTTTAGGTTTTGAGGGTTTAGGTGTAATTTTTTAATAGGTTTTGAGGGTTTAGTTGTAATCTTCTTTATCCTCATATTTTTTTAATCAAAAGTATCTTCAATAAATTTTTCACAATAAAAGAAGTAATTGTGAAAAATTATATGTAGTACCAACACTCTATTTCTATTAACGTTGTATTCACAATTGTGTTTATCGAGTGTTTAACAAAAACAACATTAATTCAAGTTCTCAATAAAACGATTATGAAACGATTATGTGCAGTAATTCAAGTTCTCAACACTCGATTCATATATGAAACGATTATGTGCAGTATAAATATTTATGTTTTTGTTTCTACATATTAGTAATGCAATAATACTAAATATTGGATAATATAATAAAGAAAAATACAGAACCAAAAAGTTATTTGATGACTATACAAGTTTTTTAATTTAATAGAGATTTTATTCGTTAAAATTCAAACAATATTACTGAGAACATTAGAATAAACTTTAAAATAATTATTTTTTTCAAGAGTAATAAAATATATATCTTCTATTATATTACAAAAAAATTTAGTAGACAATAATATTAAACAAGTAATGCTAATATAATAAAGAAAAATACATTAAAAAAAGTTATTCGATGACTATATATGTCCTTTAATTTAATAGAGATTTTATTTATTAAAATTCAGATAATGTTATTGGCAACAGAATAAAATTTAAGATTAAAAAAAATACTTCATTTATATTACAAAAAGAAAGCGAACGTACAAAAATATTTAACAAAGTAATATGCTAATAAAAATTTCTGTTAACGATGTAAAAATACTAAGCATTGGATAATAGAATAAAGAAAAATATAGAACAAACAAAATATTTAATGACAATATAAGTTCCTTTAATTTTAATAGAGATTTAATTATTGGGTATATGATAAATAGGATGACAATTAAAATTTAATAAAGCAATACCATCTAATATGTTAATTTAATTGACCACGTTCCAGTAAATATATAAGTATTCCATCGGAGAAACCAGAATAGACTATTTTACCAATTTTCCTCAAAACCGCCCTTTCAACGGACGGACTGTATCAAGCAAAGAGAAAACAGAAGCTCTCAAGAGCTCATATTTTCGGATTCGATAAGCAGATTAAACCCTCTAGCAAAATGGGTCACGGACATGGTATTTTTGCATTCAAAGATTTTAACTCTTTTACATCATTAACGAAAAAAAAAATCCCCAAAAATTAGTAAAATTTTTTGGAAAACAATTTGATGAAATTATGTATATTATTGAATGAATTCAGGTGATAAAGGTCGACCCAGCAAAAAGATCAAGTTTTCTTCTAAGGTTCTTCAGTTTCCCAGCAAGTTTCATGTCTTATTTGCTGTTTTATTAAGTAAAAATAAAGTTTGTATTTTTATTACTATTTTTTTTTATATTTTTGTGATGATGAAGGAGGATTATCGGTCTTCAGCTGCCGATGATGATCAGTACTACCCAGAAGAAGGCGATGATGATTTTCAAGATGGTATTACTCTACCTTTATTAATAGAGGCGGATCCACTAGAACTATATATGTGTAAAGAACATATAAAGAATTATTTAAAAAATATGAGTTTGTGTTCTATGCACTTATGGTGCAAAAATTGTTTACTTAATGAGATCACTTATTAGGTAATTACATATAAATCTCATATAAATCTCTTGTAAAGTAGTAGTTGGTAATCTGATAGAAATTGTTGGTATTACGCTTTAAATTCACTAATAGTGTAAAAAATCATTACACTGTCGGTGTTTATAACTTAAATCCAATAGTTTTATGTATGTTTTAAGAGCTGCACCCATTGCCTTTTAAATGCTGAAGGTGCTTTTGCCATGCTTTATAGTGTTACACTTGGTGATGCTTTGATAGGATAAATTTGTTTCATGTTTCAACTCAATTGATGTGGAAGTTTTGAATGACTTTTATATTTAGGCGAGAGGGAAGGGAAGAAGATGGATTTCACTAAACTGGAACTCAAACCCGATCATGCCAATCGCCCATTGTGGGCTTGTGCTGATGGAAGAATTTTCCTTGAAACCTTCTCTCCGTTATATAAACAAGCCTATGATTTTCTCATTGCCATTGCTGAGCCTGTTTGCAGGTACCTTTTGTGTGGTCGATGATATACATTCTACATTTTTGTTTGTTTGTGGATGTTTGGAGAGGATTAACGGAATTGCTTTTATTTTTGTAGGCCGGAGTCGATGCATGAGTACAACTTGACGCCTCACTCGTTGTATGCAGCTGTGTCAGTTGGTCTTGAGACAGAAACTATAATAGCTGTTTTGAACAAATTGTCAAAAACCAAGCTTCCCAAGGAGATGATTGATTTTGTTCATGCTTCTACTGCTAATTATGGGAAAGTGAAGCTCGTACTTAAGAAGAATCGGTATTTTGTAGAATCTCCATTTCCAGAGGCAAGATAATTAGCTAAAGTAACAATGATTTTATTTGAGATATCTTCTTGAACTTTAAGGTTCACTGTGGATTGCTAATAATTAATTGATTCATTTGATGTGATTATTTCTAGGTGTTGAAAAGATTGCTCAGCGATGAAGCCATTGCAAAAGCTAGAATTTCGTCTGAGGTCTGTGTTCATGTTATTGAGTTGCTAGTTTTGTTGTCTGTAATGGTTATCAAACCCAGTAACTTCATTTTGATGCTTTGTTTTCTGTTACAAGTAGATACTACCAAGAGAAATTAATCTTTTTTGGTTATCTCTGAAATAGGGGATGCATGGAAGGGATGGGTTTACTGTAAGCAAATCCGTGAATGAAATCGAAGGTAGACATGATGAGTTGATAAATGAAGCAGATTTGGCAGCTGCAGCTGAAGAAAAAGAAACTCACGCATTTGAAATAGACCCTGCTCAGGTAATAATTAATGCTTTGTGGCAAGATGGTCTCGTTTTACACTCTTTTGGCAGAGGTTGGGGTTTGTGGTGTCGGATGCTGCATTGAAATAAGTTGCAGCATTTATGAAATAAATAACCACTGATTACTAATTCACATCAGGTCTCCAAATTCACTTGGTCTTTGAATTCATTACGTCTCCAGATTTCTTATGGCATTTAAATTTCCTATACCAAATAAACCTATCCAGATGTAAGCACCGCTGTTGTTTCACCTATTAAGGATGATTATTCGCTTGTCTCGTTTTTGCTGTACCCTTTACTTAGTATGTGGCTGTCTAATTTTGGAGCTATGATTTGTAATGTAGTACAACGTGTGGGGATTTATATACTGTTAGATATGAGCTGAGTCCACACCAGTTCTTATACTGTTAGATATTGATTCTCTAGCAATATGAATTAGTGGTGGTTTGACTAGGCAATTGGTTAAAGTAAATCTAGGACCAAACTCTAATGCAACAGTTCATTTCACTATTTATTAGTAACAGTTACTTGAAGACCTCATAATAGAGATATGTGGCATATGCCTTAACTGTGCTCATTTTTGCATTGTGTTTTCCACTTAGACATTTGTGTTTAAGTATCATCCAAGTATCTACTTAGGGAGCTACAATTGCCCAATGGATTTGTTGTATCTCGTTGTGTGGAGACTTATCTTCCTGGTGAAAGGAACATCTTTGTTCGTGAATACACTTCGACTTTACTTAGAAATTGACTGTTTACCTATTTGTATACGGACAGGTTGAAAATGTGAAGCAGCGGTGTCTGCCAAATGCTTTGAATTATCCCATGATGGAGGAGTATGACTTCAGGAATGATACAGTGAGTTGCTTCTCCCTTTTTTGGGCATCTGTGCGGAGCAGTGGATAGTGAGTAATTTATCCGAGGGAGAATCGTTCCTACTGTAAAAATAGGAATCACACCCCCTTAGTTGACTAATCAGTAGTTTTGGCTGAAGGAACCATTTTGTTTTGGTATACGTGTAACAACATTAGATCACATTGTGCTATTTTTACCACCTTTAAACATTTATAGGAGTACTAATAAGCCTAGAAGAATAAGAAAGCAGTAATTAAAATATCAACAGAAACTTCTGTTTTCCAACTAGTCAAGGACTTGCATTGATGGAAGGATCATGGTTGATAAAAAGTACTTGGTATTTTGGCTAAAATTGATCCTGGTGGGTGGGGCCCTCTAGAGGGATTCCACCCTCAGCATTCAATATGTGTATACTGTCGACATGGTCTGTTTGACACAATTTATAAGATGCTTTCTGTTTGGGCCCATTCCAAATTGTTTGACACGATTCTAGTTTTATTTTTTTCGAAAATAGTCTCTCTACCTTCACAAGGTAGGTAGGGGTAAGGACTGCGTATATACTAGCCTCCCCAGACCCCACTTGTGGGAATACACTGGGTATGTTGTTGTTGATGATGATTCTAGTTTTATTCAACTTTCAAGAATTTAAATTCACAGGTGAAATGAATAAGTTGCTTGAGGGTAGTAACTAAAATGGTGTGTGACTAGTATTTTCTCCATGTGATTAGAGAGCCATTTTCGTGATCCATATAGGCCAATCAAACATTTGGTCGAGTATGAGAAGATTGAGTAAAAAATTATCTTGCATCAACATTTTGGTGTTTGAGGGTGTGATTTATTGGTTCCACCAATGGCTAAGTAATTCTGCTTAATACCTACCTAACACTGCAGGTCAATCCTGATCTTGACATGGAGTTGAAGCCTCAAGCGCAGCCACGGCCTTATCAAGAGAAGAGTCTTAGTAAGATGTTTGGAAATGGTAAGGATGTAGAAACCAAATTTTACCAAGCAAAGGACTTATTTTTTACACGTGGTGCTTCCTTCTTGTTTTGTTCTCTATTTGAACGTCGGCTGTCATAGTCAGTGAATTTTTTTGATAAGAATGTCATAGTCAATGGATTTTGTTTTGCTAAAACTTTTTATGTGCTCTTCTGTTCCCTTATTTTTCTTAGTATTAACTTAGTGTAGTGATTATGCTTGAAAAATATCCGGATCAGGATAAATTGAAGCAATGGAGTACTGGTCAAATCAAGATAGAAATATTTAAGATTTGAGAGGCCTTGAATCCTTGAGGGTTTATTTTAATTGTTTCTTGCTGGTCAAATTGGTTATTGCATAAAACAATAAAAGGGGTGCAAAGTTTATTTTGTTCACTTCACTGACGCAAGGAAGTTTCAGCGAAAGGGTTGCTCCAACCTCAAGAAGAAAGCAGTTTGATGTGAGAAGTGACTCTTCATTAAAACAATTGGTTTGGCATTTTGGATGAATTCTTGTTTCAATTTGATTCCTTGACCAATATCCTAATGTGGAGTTAAATGTTTCCTAAAACTCCAGCCAGCCACCATTTTGAGCTATAGGTCTGTCCCGGAATCCTATAGAAAGGTATAAAGATGTGAGAAAGCTGCATCCCTGTGCTTGCAAAGATGGTATCTGGTTTCGTTCGAGTGTGTGCATTGTTATAAAAGAGAGAATTAAGGTGTCATTTTCATTTATTTAGCCTACTACAGCTAGTTTTACAGTAGAACTTCATTTAACAAAAAGTTACAAACAGAAGGGAAGACATTGTGTAGATATTCTTAGCATAGGGTCCATTGCCCTTGTCGCTTTCTTGCTATTTTTGTTTGGCATGTGTTTCTCGAAGGGGGGATGGCTGGGTAGCAAGTGGTAATGAAAGTTGGACATCTTTCTTGATATTGATTTTTCCAATGGAACCATATCTAAATTTCTTTGATGAGAGGGATTTTAAGATGTTCATAATTTTTGGGTGTTCCAAGAGTTACATGTAATCCAACTGCCTCATTGGTTAAATTTATGTTAAATGCTTCAGGAAGAGCAAGATCTGGTATTATTGTGCT